TATCTATCTATCTATCTATCTATCTATCTATCTATCTATCTATCTATTTATCTATCTATCTATCTATCTATCTAATTGAACACAGATCTTTATTCTAAATATTTTACTTGCCTCATAGGTTTTTGGTTAAAAAAGAGAGTAAAACAAACAAAAAATAAACACATTTGACAATGGAGGTATAATAATATTAGTGACTAGATTTGAAATTGGTTTTGTTTTGACATTATATTAATAGCTAAGAGAGTCTCCTGAAAGTCTGAACATTTTAAACAAAAATGTAAAAGGACTTACGAAAGCACCAAAAACCTAAGGTGTCATCTTTTATAAGGATATCCTATTCACAAATGATTGGGTTTAAATCAGAAAACATCACTCAGGGATCTCTCCTTTGAGTCTGAATGCCACCCTGTTTAATCAGGCAGGTGTTTGATCTGATCAAAAATACAGTCGTTATGACTCCTAAAACCTACAGATATTTTAGCATGTGACAAATAATTCTGCGTCGATCTTTAACATATATCAATGGAAGCTCTCAGTTTAAGATACAGTTAAGAAAAACTGCAAATATGTGATTAAATATACTAGGTTATTAATGACAGTTCTAAAGTTGCCACTCTCTCACATTACTATCAAATCATTTGTGCCCCCTTACGTTATTTTTATTGAAGCACTCTGATAAAAGAGTGTTATAACATGAGGGAAAAATCAGTAAAATAATGTAAGAGCAGAAAGTCTCTGTAATTTGATGTTTAATGAAGTGAACATCAAGAAGGACACGAGTCAGCCAAATAATGAAAAGGATGAGCAAAGAGATGTCTGATGATTGACACAGACATTATAGGTTCTGTGTTATTCTTGCAGTACCTGAAAGACACAGCCATAAAGTCAACCTAAAGCTTTACATTTTCCATTTAGCAGAGAAATTACGCCTGAAGCAGTTCAGAGCGGCACATGTCAACTGCTTTGACACATAAAAAGGTTTTTGTTTTCTGGTGTCATCAACTCCTGAAGCCTGAGATGGTATTGGTGGCAGATGTGGGAATGCTGCTAAATCAATACATGTGGTTTTGTTGAAATGTCCACACACTGTACAAACTGCACGTCACGACAAGGTAATGAAAGCAGGGTTAAAAAGTTTTTTTTGCTCTGTTAGTCTAACCAGTTACAGCCTGCTGGCCAAAAAGGGCAGAGAGTTGTTTTAAAGCACTTTACTGTAAATTCAAATATGCTGTCAAAACACTGTGTGGTAAGAACTGGAATATTTATCATCCACTGGCAATAAGGTTACCCAAATGTTTCACAGTTCTACTGAAGTTAATATTTGGGTCTTTTACATATTTTCACATCAACATATTCTACAGTCAAAAAAATCTAATTAACCATATCTGAACCACGAAAACCTGTTACTTACTGTTTTTGTAAAGTACTCAAAATGCTTTGGCAGTGAAAGAGTGTTAGATTTTGAATCAGCTGAGGTAAATATAGTCTTGAAGGGAAAAATAAATCAAACCTCTATAGGTGCGGAAAATCATGATGTGGAAAGACGGAGAGGTGTATTCCGTGGGACAAGTATAGAGATCGTTGACATCTTTTAGTTGAGACTGACACTGGCTTTTCATCAAAATGTGTTCAAAGAAAGAGATTATAGATAACATAGTTGGATATTTATTTTTGTACCAAACATAAAAAAACAACATCTTATAAAATACCTTGAAAGATGAAGATCCCTTTTTTAGTGCACTTTGCTTGTTACTTTCAATGGTATTTTGAGGGTTACTCATTGTTCTTCAGTGCACACCTTGATCCATTTGGTTTATTGATTCTTCAGTCAAAGAAATGCTTCTAATACACTGTGTTGAGCAACCGGCAACATCAGAGGCAGTATTTCTGTCTAATTTCAGAAGTGTCAAATGAGCCTACAAAAAAAATTATTCACAACATACAGTCCTGTTGCTGTAAAGCAATCTTTGCAGGCTAATGTGCTGAGCTTTTACACTCAAATCCCTTCTTAACTCTCCAAGTTAAGGATGATTATGCTAGTTTAGCTATTCATCAGAGTACTGTGAAGACTGCAGTGTCAAACTGGAATTTTTGCTTTAATTTAAAATTTAGTGGAGTAGAACTTATATTGAGAAATGTAATTTCTCAAAATACTTCTTCATCAAATTTTTCGGTTTTTGGTTTAAAGGGAAAAATAGTATAGATGTATCCTCATTAATTCAGGAGGAGGGGCGGAAAGGCATCTTGAAGGCTTGCAGAATGAGGGGACCAGCACTGCACAATGCAGCAGGATAGGGGGGAGGGGCCAAGAATGGACCAAGTAACTGAAAACGGTGAAAATAAAGGAATTGGACATAAACAAGAAAACAGTGTGATGAAGAAAATGTATGAGGGGCGAGATGCCTTAAAAAAGGGTCAGGAGTATGATACAGCTATTATATGTCGGATTTTTCCCAAAAATTCTGGGATCTTTTCTTTCCTTTTTAAACTTAAAGCCAAGGGTGGGGCAAGGTTTGGTTGCCAGATTAGACAGAGTATAAAATAAAAAATATGTAATATGTCCTCTTAAGCATTACTGCCCCTTCAATCTTTATATTATTGCAATGGGGGACTATATTAACTGCAGCTCTTTATATTATTTGTTTATTTGTGAAATAATTCATATTTTTATTTCTATTTTCGATTGATTGATGCCCAGTCTTATTAAGGTTTAAGATTTTTCCAGAGAACTGACATTTTTTTACACCAGAAGATGTTCTGGTGATGGTATGAGTCGTAATTTTAAAAAATCAAATGTGATTTGTCTATCTTCTAATCTAGTTCAAGATTAAATTCTGTACAGATGCTACCATAATTCAAAAATATACATTTTTACTGAAATAATTCAATAGTATCAGCGGAAGAAACTGTATTTCTGTAACCTGTATTAGCGGTCTCCTAATATTTAAACCCCTAAAACTTCCATAGGTTTTTTTGTACATGAGAAAATAAGTATGTCATTTGGACATCAGGTGTATCAAACAGAGCTTCCCTCAGATATTCCTATTGTTATTTTGTTTGTTTGGTACCTTTCACACTGAATTTCTGGTTGATGTTAAGCTCACCATTGCTCACTTTTATGAAGCGGCACTCTTCACCTTCAAAGGCTACGGCAGGATTTATTGTTAGACTCAGTGACAGCAAACAAACCTGGGAAATAACTAACAGAGAAGCTTTGCACCATTTTACTATCTCCAGCCTTTGCTTTTTCACTCACTTCTATCCCTTTGCCTTGCATAAACACAATCATACGGACTGATTTTCAGGTCCTCAGAGTAACTTCAAATCTCGCTTGCTTCAAGAATGTCTCTCCATGAGTTCTTATAACTGTTTATGGCTGGCTTTGTAAACTAGCACAGAAATAAGTTATGCATAGTCCAGACGACTGGCTCAGCCTTCTGTTTTAGAGACCTGCTGTATTTCTCAAACAGACAGATACATAGTCAACAAGCCAGAACATACTGTAAGCAAGGCTGATGGTACAGTATATCAAGCGCTTGTGCTAAGCACTAAAAAAGGTAGTCAGAAAGGATCCACACAGACACACTTGTATGGAGTTAGAGGGTGATAAAAACCCTCAAGCATCACTCTTCAAATGTGTTTTGCATTGCCAACATAGTATCAATATACTTGCTGTTAACTGCAAATGTGTGTTTGTGAAACCATAAGGCAGAGAGGTTTGTCAAGCAGTTCTTGGCTTATTTTACTAGGGAAATAACGAAATAATATCTAAAATCTGAAGCCATAAATACGTGAACCATACCCTGTGTCAATAAATCACACAAAATGTCATATCTGTACAAAGACATAGTAGATAATGCATCCTTAGTGAGTTCAGTTGATTATCCACACAGTTTTAAAAGGGCACTGTGAGTGCTTAAGAAATGCAGCTTTTGGACACAAAAATATATTTAGAAATAAAAAAGGAAAGTTGGATTAAAAGGGATGAATCAAATGAGAATATTCTCATTTTGTAATAATGGGTGCTAAGAGCTACTCACATGAATACATTTTCTCCGTTGAAAATGAGCTCAAACCTAAAAAATGTTGTAGCAGTTCAAGCGAAAACTGTATATATTTTCTCAACTGTGGAACATTTGTGTTGGTCTACATCAATGCATGCAAGGTGGCCGCCAATGTATCGTGCTGCCGATCAGCTTGTCTTAAAAATATTAAAAAGAGGTCTAATCCCAAAGTAACAACTATGGGATAGTAAAAATAAATAACCTGGAAAGGCTCAAACAGCGTCCTTTTAAATCAAAGCCAAAATGTTCAACTGCACGCAATCCAACAAGTTTGACACAGCTCCTGGCAGACACAACAAAGTACAACAGCTATGCATGCATTGATGCAGGGCAACACAAACAATCTTTAGTTGAGATATATTTATAGATATCAGGTGGACAACCATATGATGCAAAAGACAGCCTTCCCTGTATAACTCACTGATTGTGCCCTAAGACATGAGTTTGTACTTTGATTATTCCCACTTAAAAACGAAAGAAAAAATGATTTAAAAATTAAATCAAATTAATTAAACTTTCTGTGCGGTGAAAAAGCCTGGAATGAGATCATCCCAACTTACAATCATTTTATGTCAGATGGGAGCCATAGCTGTGACAAACAACGTAGATACATTTGAGTATGTCAAAACACAGGAGATCTTGAAGCTATTAATGTCAGGGTTTGGCAGCACCCTTTTGGAGCAGGAATTTTGGAGCTTGTTTTTGCTTGTCATGCGGCCTATTCAAGAAGCCATTCAATTTGATAGAATTCCAGTTTCACACAGATGATAAATTCTGACAG